GAGTAGTTTGAAATACTTTTGCCTTTGCTTTTTCACAGAGTGCTGAATAAAAATGGTTAGAGAGGCTGAAGGATGGGATGGGGAATGAGGTAGAAAGATGAGGCACTGGACAGAAGTGACAATCTGTGAAGCAGACAGCTATTGATTTATGCAGTAATTGCATTCTGAAGAAAAGAATTGAAATCCATTATGCCAAGTGCATAGTGTACAAATCCCTTTGAAAAGCAGTTAGATGCCATCTAATCCCAAATCATTTGAAAACAATTTTGAAGTACCCAGAATTCTAAAATGCCCTAAGCAGTTCATCTCTTAGTCTAGGAGAACAGTGAAATGGATGGGAAATAGTGTTTTAATGTTGTCTTTCTCTCATGTTATTTTTAATTGTGTAACTTAGTGTTAAATTGCATTTTAGATATGTACAATCTGGGAGGTAGGATATATTCCCTTGAATATTCTGAAACACACCAAACATAGGCTATGGAAGAAACCTCTCAATTTTTTTTTTTTTTTAATTTTGACAATTTCAGGCTTTTAGAAAACTTGCAAAAGTAGTATTATAAGAACTATCTTTTTTTTAAATTAATATTTTATCGTGTTTTCTTTCTTTCCTCTCTATATTAAATGCTTATTATTGTACCAGGTACTTATTAAAAGCTCCTTTTGAAGAAATGAGGGTGTGAGTTTATCTATGAAGGTATTATGTCACACAGAACTACAAGGCTGGGAGGTGATCTCAGGCAGAAAAGAAAATATAGAAAGGGGTTTCAACAGATAGACAATTATTAGATCTTTTTGAATTTTTGGCATACATTTAATTTTATTTTGAACTACAGAATACTCCCTGAGATAATTAAATAGTTTCAAAGATAAAAATCACTTGAGTTACAAGGATATGTGTGTGGTGTGAGAGTGAAAATAGATGATGAAAAGTTAGAGCCCCCCCCCCCAAAAAAAAAATAAAATCAGAAACAGCACAAGAATATAAAACAGAAATCAAGGACCTTAGAAAAGTAAAAAGTTGGGCAGCTACATGGAAATAGTTGACCAAAAGAAGAAAGATATCAGGACGAGGCTTAAGAAAGCAATTACTTAGAGGAACAAAGGATTTTAAAAGTCCCCAAAGATGGGAAAAGAAACCTTAATAATAGAGTAGAATAAATTGAGAAAAGAATTTTGCATGAATAAATAATTATTTTTTTACTTATAACCACACAGGTCATATTTCTATATCTATATGGCTGCCTTTTTGTGAGGTAATTAATTTCTTGAGTATGCATGCATTCTCTTTTATAGAGAGTGTCTTTCATAGAGCAGAAGTTTCTAATTTTAATGACATCCAGCCTGGTCAGTTACTTCTTTCCATAGATCATGTCTTTGGTGTTGTATCTAAAACATTGTTGCCATACCCATGGTCAACTAGATTGTCTCATGTTATTTAGGAGCTTTGTATTTTACACTTAGGTCTATGATCTACTTTGAGTTACTTTTGTAAAAACTGTCAAGTCTATGTCTAGATTCATTTTTTGGCATGTGGATGTCCAGTTATTTTATCACCATTTGTTGGAGATTGTCTTTGGTCAATTGTATGTATTGCCTTTGCTCCTTTGTCAAAGATCAATTGACTATATTTATGAAGGCTTATACCTTTACTTTTTATTCTTTTCCATTGATCTGTCTGTTCTTTCATCGATACCACACTACTTTGATTACTATAGCTTTAAGTCTTAAAGTCAAGTAGTGTCAGTCTTTTGGCTTTGTTCTTTTTCAACATTGTGTTAGCTATTCTGGGTCTTTTGCCTCTCCATATAAACTTTAGAATCAGTTTGTCAATATCCATAAAATAACTTGCTGGGATTTTTTATTGGGATTGCATTGAATCTGTAGATCATATTAGAAAATCTTGATAGTAGTATTGAGGTTTCCTACTGTGAGACTTATTTCTTCTTTGATTTCTTTTTTATTGTTGCTAATCCTCATCTGAGGATATTTTTTCCATTGATTTTTAGAGAGAGTGGAAGGGAGGAAGAGGCAGGGAAAGAGAGAGAAAAAGAGAGGGAGAGAAGGAGGAAGGGAGGGAGGAATAGAACCAACAACCCATATACATGCCCTTGATCCAGAATTGAACCCGCAACCCTTTCATGCCTGGGCCAACACTCTAATCACCTAGCAACACTGGCTGGGGCCTCTTTGATTTCTTTCTTTCTTTCTTTCTTTCTTTCTTTCTTTCTTTCTTTCTTTCTTTCTTTCTTTCTTTCTTTCTTTCTTTCTAAAATATATTTTTATTGATTTTTTACAGAGAGGAAGAGAGAGGGATAGAGAGTTAGAAACATCGATGAGAAAGAGTCATCGATCAGCTGCCTCTTGCACACCCCCTACTGGGGATGTGCCCGCAACCAAGGTACATGCTCTTGATCGGAATCGAACCCGGGACCTTTCAGTCCACAGGCCAATGCTCCATCCACTGAGCCAAACCAGTTTCGGCTCTTTGATTTCTTTTATCAGAGTTTTATAGTTTATTTTTTCCAAATAGATCTTGTTCGTATTTTGTTAGATTTATACCTGAGTATTTCATTTTTTGGTTACTAATGTAAATGGTATTGTGTTTTTAATTTCAAATTCTATTTGTTCATTGCTGTTATATAGAGGACTATATAACAGCCTGGTGCACGAATTCGTGCACAGGTGGGGTCTGGCTGGCCTTACCCCAATGTGGGCCTGTTGTGGGCGGGGTTGGCTGGAGGGAGGGGCCAGGAGAGAGGGGGCTGGAGGACGGGTCACCCCCCAATTGGGCTGGTTGGCCAGCCACAGTGCACATGATAGCTACTGGTCTGATGATTGCTTAGCTTTTATATATATAGATTGATTTTTATATATGAAATTTGTGATAACTGCAACATTGCCATAATCATTTACTAGTTTCAGAAGCTTTGTTGTTGATTCCTTTGGATTTCCTACATAGCCAATCATGTCATCTTTTTTACCCCCTTCTCAGTCACTATTCTTTCTCTTTCTTTCTGCATTAGCTAGGACTTTCAGTACAGTGTTGGAAAGGAGTGAGAAGTGGGGGCATCCTTGCTTCATTCCTGATGTTAGCAGGAAAGCTTCTATAGTAGTCCCTGCTTATCCAGTTTCATTTTCAGTAGTTTCGTATATCCACAGTCAATTGTCATGGCTCAGTGATGAAGGATCACCCAAAATATGATGATCCTTCTTCTGATATACCATCAGAAGGTCAATAGTAGCCTGACGCTGATTCTCAAAGTCTACATCATTCACCTCACTTCATCTCATCCTGTAGGCATTTATCATCTCACATTATCACAAGAAGGAAGGGTGAGTACTGTACAATAAGATATTTGAGGGAGAGAAAGAGAGATCACATTCACGTAACTTTATTATAGTGTAATAATTTTTCTATTTTATTATTTTTGTTAATCTTACTGTGCCTAATTATAAATTACAGGGGAAAACATATACTACCATAGGGTGTAGTACTAGCCATGGTTTGAGGGATCCACAACGAGTCTTGATGTGTATCCTCCACAGATAAGGTGGGACTGTAGTAGTTCGCACCGTTAGGTATGATGTTATCTGTAGATTTTAAAAATCGGGTTAAGGAAGTTTCCTTCTATTCCTAGTTTGCATTTCTTCTTTTTAAAGGTTGAATAGTATTGCATTGTATATATATTTACATTTTGTTATTCATTCATCCATCAGTGGACAGTTGGGTTGCTTCTACCTTTTGACTATTGTGAATTTTGCTGTTCTGAACATGGTTAGGTATAAATAGCCCTTTGAGACTGCTTTCATGGTTTCTGGCTATAGACCCAGATTGGAATTGCTGGGTCATATAATAATTCTTTTAAGGCTTTTTTGAGGAACCAATGTGCAAAGTTTTATATACAGGTATGTCTGTTGCACTGATATTTATAATAACAAAAATTTGGAAGCAGCAGCCTTGCCATGTATCGGTAGGTGATTGGCTGCATAATTAAGGCACATATTACAATGTAGTATTCTGCAGCTATTTAAAAAGGTCTGGTAGATCTGAATGTTTTGACATGTCAGACGTCCAAGTATACTGTAATAAGAAAAAAGCAAACTATAGAACAGTGTGTATAAAATGAATCTGTTTTTATTTTAAATCATATGTATGTATGTATGTATGTATGCTTCAAAAAAATTTTTTTTTTAAGAAAATGCACTTCTCTGTAGTTGTTAGGGAAAGAGGGAACATATTATAAGTGCAGTAGAAGAGCAAACCTTTATCTTCTTTATAAATTACTGCATCATTTTAGGATCTACATGAAGCATAGTTTATAAGCAGAAAACCCAATTTGAATGATTGCAGTTTTTTTGGGGTGAGAATTTAACACCCATTTGTCTATGAAATACAAAGAAAATATTAAGTTTTCATTTACTTATTAAGTGTTTTTATGTCTATAGTGTCAAGCGCCAAGTCACCAGGATCTTTGAAATATCTTTTTTTGTTATATTTGTCTTTTACTGTTATATGTAATATCAAAGTATTTATTGTTTTGTGACCTCAGGTATAAAATTATCACAGTGGCCCTGGTCTGTTTGGCTCAGTGGATAGAGTGTTGGCCTGCAGACTCAAGGGTCCCAGGTTCGATTCCGGTCAAGGTCATGTATGTACCTTGGTGGTGGGCACATCCCCAGTAGGGGGCGTGCAGGAGGCAGCTGATTGATGTTTCTCTCTCATCTGTGTTTCTAATTCTCCCTCTCCCTTCCTCTCTGTAAAAAATTCAATAAAATATATATAAAATAAAATTAGCACAGTGAATTTCCATCAAAAGGTATTATATAAGGAAAATATTCTAACATTTTTGGGTCATATTTGAATGGTGCTTCCCATTTCCCATGAGTTGATGAAGTGAGGTATGTAGTGAAATCAAAGGGAAAATATCACCTGGTTTAAGTATAGTGTTACATTATGCACTGAATTCTGTTCTTTGCCTTTTTTCTGACAGTAGATCTACATGGAGGAGCACGGAGTGACCCAAACGGAACACATGGCTACCATAGAAGCCCACGCAGTTGCCCAACAAGTACAGCAGGTCCATGTGGCTACCTACACCGAACACAGTATGCTGAGTGCTGATGAAGACTCGCCTTCCTCTCCAGAGGACACCTCTTACGATGATTCCGACATACTCAATTCCACAGCTGCCGACGAGGTAACAGCCCATCTGGCTGCTGCAGGTAATGTTGTTGGTATTGGAAGTTCTTTATTTTTTGCTTAACTCTGGTACCCTGCATATCTGGAAGAGCCTAAGATGTAGGCACTCTCACATTTATCTTCATATCACATCTTCACGATTTTGTTTTAAGCCTTGGATTTTGTGCCAGTGCTATACTGCTAAGACTTAAGTCCTAGAATCATATACTATTGGTGATATGACTTGTGTTTGTTTTTTTTCATTCATTCTAACCATCTTTTGATTTTGAACTGAAGCATTTAGTCCATTTATATTAAATGTAATCACTGATATATTTAAGTTCAAATTGATCGTGTTTACTGTATGCTTTCTCTATCTCACTTGTTCTGTGTTTCCTTTTCCTTTTAGAGTGACTGAAAGTTTTTGTTTTTCTCTTGTTAGTTTGAAGGTTATATATACTTTTTTTTATTACGGGTACTTCTAGAAATTATAACATATATACTTTACTTATGTCAAAGTATTTTATAATTGATACTTGTGTCCTCTTTAGATATAATGCATATTTCTTAGAACACCAAATTTCTTTCTTTAAAATTTTTATTGAATTTATTGGGGTGACACTGGCTAATGAAATTACATAAGTTTTAGGTGTACAGTTCTATATTTCATCATCTGTATATTATGTTGTGTGTTTACAACCCAATGCCAAGTCTCCTTTGTCACCATTTATTCCCCCTTTATTCTCTTCTTCCTCCCCCACCCACCCCTCTTTCCCTCTGGTAATCACCACACTGTTGTCTGTGTGTAGGGTTTTTTTGTTTGTTTGTTTTTCCCCCCCTTTTTAAGCAATTGTGGCTGGGATTGTTTTCTTAGTTTCCTTTTCTGATAGTTCATCATTAGTGGATAAAAATGTAACCGATTTCTGGACATTTATTTTGTATTTTACTGAATTCATTATCAATTCTAATAGTTTTTTTGATGGAGTCTTTAGGGTTCTCTATTTACAGTATCATGTCATCTGCAAATAATGACAGTTTTTCTTTATCCTTTCCAATTGGAATGCCTTTTATTTCTTCTTCTTGTCTGATTGCTGTGTTTAGAACTTCCAGTACTATGTTGAATAAGAGTGGTGAAAGCAAACATCCCTTTCTTGCTCTGATCTTAAGGGAAATGCCTACTATTTGCCCATTGAGTATGATGTTAGCTTTGGGTTTGTCATATATGGCCTTTATTATGTTGAGGCATGTTCCCTCTATTTCCACTTTGCTGAGAGTTTTTATTATAATTGGGTGGTGGATTTTATCAAATGCTTTTTCTGCATCTATTGATATGATCATGTGATTTTTATACTTTATTTTGTTTGATGTGGTATATCAAGTTTATTGATTTGTGGTTATTATACCAACCTTGAACCTCTGGAATACATCCAACCTAATCATGACATATGATCTCTTTAATGTATTACTGAATCTGGTTTGCTAATTTTGTTGAGGATTTTAGCATCTATGTTCATCAGGAATATTGGCCTATAATTTTCTTTCTTTGTAGTGTCCTTATCTGGTTTTGGGATTAGCATAATATTGCCTTCATAAAATGGGCTTGAAAGTCTTCCCTCGTCTTGAATTTTTTGGAATACAGTAAACACGATTTTGTGGACCTAAATTTATTGGACTCGGATTTAACAGACAAAATTTCCAGTCCATATAAGCATGTGTGATCATTAACACCCTATTAATTTTAAAATGCTTTTAACCAAAATTTGCTTATAAATAAATAGGTTATTTTGTTGTTGTTAATTCATTGTTATTTTTAACAAATTCTCGTGAATAAGCCAGATGTTGGAAAAAACACTAGTAATTTAGCCAGCATAAATAAATATTGTATATCTACACTGATATACATATTTAAATCTACACCAGTCTACATATTTAAATCCAAGAGTCACTGCACATAGACAATGTTCAGCCAGTGATTATCACTTGATCACACCACATTGCATGCCAGCATTTGTTGCTTGTTGATCTGTCATTATTTTTTTCAAATAGGTTTTCAATTTCTTGCTTTCTCTCTTCTTCTACTGGCACTCCCATGATGTAAATATTGGTATCCTTGAAGTTGACCCAGAGGCTCCTTACACTATCCTAATTTTTTTAAATTCTTTTATTTATTTATTTATTTTTTTTTGCTGTTCTGATTGGGTGTTTTTGCTTCCTTATATTTCAAATCGCTGATTTGATTATCTGCTTTATCTACTCTACTGTTGATTTCCTGTAAATTACTCATTTCAGTTATTGTATCCTTTATTTCTGACTGGTACTTTTTTATACTGTTGAGGTTATCACTAAGTATATTGAGCATCTTTATAGCCATTGTTTTTAACTCTGCATCTTATAGACTGCTTGTCTCCATTTTGTTGAGTTCTTTTCTGGAGTTTTGTTCCATTCCTTCATTCAGGGCAGCCTCCTTGCATTTGTTCTATGTATTAGTTAGAGTTGCTACATCTCCCAGGCTTGGTAGAGTGGCCTAATGTAAGAAGGGGCCTCTCAGGAGGTGCAGCTGGGGCCTCTCAGGAAGTGCAGTTGCCACCTGTGTTCTGCGTGGGGCCACCTGGCGTGGGCTATAAAGTAATCTGCAGGTGACTGCTACCTGTGCTGGGCTTGGTGGTGCTCAGGCAAGGCCAGTCTGTGAACTGCTGCCTGGTGCTGAGCCTATGGCCACTTAGTGAGAGGTATGGTGAAGCCAGATCCTACTTGTTTAGGAAAATCTGAAGCAAGCCAAGACAGATCATTGTCTGGAAAAGCTATGGAAAACAGCTTGGGTGGGCCCAAAAGATGGGTGGAGTGGAGCCTCAGAGAATCACCAGGCGGGGTAAACTATGCAAGCCAAGTTATTGGAGTCTCAGATATAGCCTGCTTGCAATATGGAGGAAGGGCTCAGTAAAGAAACAATGGCCTCTGCCATTATGTCAGGGAAACAGTTCCTCTTCGTAGATCTCATGTCTTTCAAGCTGCCACACCAAGGCTGGAGCTCAGAGAGAATGAGTCTGAGTAAGTCAGTCTGTGCAAGGGCCCTTTAAGAGGAACTGGGTGGGACTCCATCAGCCTTCCAACTTCCTCCGCCTCCTTCCCTGCTGTTGTTTACAGCCAAAAGTTATGGGGACTTCTCTTCCTTGCTCTGGAACCCTCAGTTGGGGGCCTGGTGTGGAGCTGGGACCCCCTCACTCCTCAAGAGGGACCTCTGCAATTGAGACATCCCTCCCAATTTTTATCTGCCACACGTGGGTGTGGGACCAGCCCATTTGGCATCTCTACCCCTCCTAATAGTCTTGCTGTGGCTTCTTTAATTCCCTAGTTGTAGGACTTTCATTTAGCCAGATTTCAGGCAGTTGTGAATGATAATGATTATTCTGTAGTTTAGTTGTAATTTTGATGTAGTTGTGGGAGGAGGCTAGTATGCTACCATCTTGACCATACCTGCCTACTGGTTATATTTGGATGAATGCTAGATGCTGTGTTTGGAAGATGAATTTTATTTACTTACTTACTTTTATTATTTTTTAATCCTCATCCAGGGATATTTTTCCATTGGTTTTTAGAGAGAGTGGACGAGAGAGGGAAAGACAGAGAGAAATATTGATGTGAGAGAAAAACATCAATTGGTTGCCTCCTGCACAAGCCCCAATCAGGGCCCAGGCCAGGGAGGAGCCTGCAACCACGGTACATGCCCTTGACCGGAATCGAATCCGGGACTGTTCAGTCAACAGGTCAACGCTCTCTCCAGTGAGCCAAACCAGCTAGGGCAGGAAAATGAATTTTTAGAAGTAATTTGGGTAATAACTATATATGGTGTCAGATGGGTATGAGATTGATCGGGATGATTGCCGAGTTATATAATGTCTAATCACTGGGTTGTACACCTGAAACTAATAATATTGTATGTCAACTGTAATTGAAAAATTAAAAACTCAAGTAAAAATAAGAAGTAATTTGATGTCTAGAATAATATTATCCTTCTCGAGAGGATTTTTGTTTGCTTCTGCCAGATGTCTGAGGGCACTAGCAACCCTGGATCATCTTAATCCAATTTAAGGTTTTAAGACTTTTTCTGGGCCACTAAATTACTTAAAGCTGAGGTATATTTTGTACCATTCTCTTTGTTATTTACATTGTGTATTTAGCATTACATGGAAGATTCTTAAACCATACACTTGGGTAGATCTGATACTGGACTTAGATGATTAGGAAATACTGGAGAGGAGATTGATGATCAGGAATAGCCAAAATACAACATCTTTTTAATATATGCTGTATTTAAGGGGGGGAAGATAGATGTAACTAAGAGTAATCTTTTTGCCATAAATTATTATCCTATATTTCGGGGATGGTGAATTTAAAAATAAAGCTTAGTAGCAGCAAATCACATGAAATATTTGTAAAATACATTTTTGAAGTTCTTATATGTTCCAGAAGAGGGCATCCTAACATCGGGAATTCAGGTCAGCTTCTTTCCTAGGAAGAAATGCGTTTGAGACAGAGTTTTACTGTATTTCTGTACTGTATTGTCATAGTGCTGAGATTAGGAAAGGACTTTAACTTAACCCTTTTATGTGGCAGATATGCAAACTGAGGCCCAGTTGGTGAAAATAATTTACTATTTAATTATTCAGTAATATATACTTACTATATACTCTATTTCTACATATAGATACAATGAATAAGACAGGCAAGAGCTTGCTACTAAAGGTGTTTACAGACCAGTGGCTGGAGAAGGGTATATATAATAAAGTAAAATATTTTCAGAAAGTACTATGTGCTCTGAAATGAAGGGATAATAAGTAGCTGCTTTTCCTTATCCTATTTTCCCCCCCTCCACTGAGGTAACCTGTTCTGTTCTGAATTTGGTCTTTATCATTCCCTTCCATTTCTTTTGTTTTTGCTGTATATCAGTAAATAATACTTAGCATTGTTTTGCATGTTTTAAGTTTTATATGAATGGTATTACTCTGATGTTATCATTTTATAAAATTTCTAGAGGCCCAGTGCACGAAATTCGTGCACTCAGTCCAGCCTGCACGCTCTTCAATCTGGGACCCCTCTCACAATCCAGAACTGCTGGTTCCCAACTGCTTGCCTGCCTGTCTTCCTGATTGCCTCTTACAGCTTCTGCCTGCCAGCCTGATCACCCCCTAACCATTCCCCAGCCAGCCTGATTGCCCCTTAACTGCCCTCCCCTGCAGGCCTGGGTCCTCCCCCCCCCCCCCCAACTGCCTTTCCCTGCAGGCCCAGTCGCCCCCAACTTTCCTCCTCTGCCAGCCTGGTCACCCCTAACTGTCCTCCCCTGCTGGCCATCTTGTGGCAACCATCTTTGACCACATGAGGATAGCCATCTTATGTGTTGGGAGTGACAGTCAATTTGCATATTACTCTTTTATTAGATAGGATGTTTATTCATTTGGTATTATTTTTCTGAGATTCATGTTGATAATGTTTTCATTTTAACTGTTGTTTGATAGTCCATTATCTGGCTGTCTCATATATTGGTAGAATTCTTAGGTTGTTTATAATACTTTGCAAATTATAATTGCTGCAAATTAAAATCATCTTACATATTTTCTCATCTTTAGGTTGTTTATAATATTTTGCAATTATAATTGTTGCAAATTAAAATCATCTTAACAGCCAAAGCCAGTTTGGCTCAGTGGTAGAGCGTCGGTCTGCAGACTGAAAGATCCCAGGTTTGATTCCCATCCAGGGCAAGTACATTGGTTACGGGAACATCCCCAGTGGGGGGTGTGCAGGAGGCAGCTGGTCGATGTTTCTCTCTCATCGACATTTCTAGCTCTCTTATCTCTCTCCCTTCCTCTCTGTAAAATATCAATAAAATATATATTTTTTTAAATCATCTTACATATTTTCTTGTGCATATTGTGAGAGTTCCTTTTGGCATTGGTTTTCAAACTCTTCTGACAATATCCCATAGTAATACATTTTACGTTGTTATCTCAAATACACAAATGCACATGAAATGAAATAACAGTTTCTCTTGAAGTAATACTTACCCTCTACTACATGTAACACAATATCTGATATGTTCTATTCTCTTTCACTTCAGTGTATTTTATTAAAAACAAAACAAACAAAAATTATTTATGAGCCACCATAGGGTGGAAACATGCAGTGTGAAAGCCATTGCTTAAGGATATATCTAGGAAGGAGAGGGAATTGGAAGGCAAGGATTAGTACATTTTCAGTTTTACTAGATATTCCAAATGTATTTTCAAATTGTTGCATTAATTTACATTCCCATAATCAGTATACTAGAGTGCCTACTGCTTCTTGTCCTCACCTTATTTGGTATTATCAATCAGTTTTTGTTTTTGGCAGTTTGGTGGGTATGAAATACTATCTTACTATTGGTTTAATTTGCTTGGCTCTGAGGTAGAGGTTTTAGCCAGTGCAGGAAGATTAGATACAGCACCATTTCAGATCTTTATTGATTATTCATTTTCCTCTTTTGCATATTTTTGCAGAGAGTGAAGTTCTAGGGATCTGCTGTACAACATTGTGCCTATATTTAACAATACTGTATTATACACTTAAAATTTTGTTAAGATGGTAGATCTCATGTTAAGTGCTCTTACCACAATTTAAAAAATAAAATGTTGGAAAAAATGTATCATTAAGATTCCCCCCCCCCTCCCAGCTGTTTATGATGAAAGGTGGATTAAAAAAAATTATTTCTTTTGACTTGCTTTGGGTCTCCTTTAAAAGGGTTTATTTAAGTCAGACTTACATTACTAAACAGCATTAGAGCAGCAGAAGATTTTCAGGAAGGCTTATTTTAATTGAGCCACTTAGAACATATATAACATTTATGCCAGTGTAAATGTGAGGGATTAAAATTAATTTTTATTTAAGCCATTTATGGGATTCACAGATAAGTATAATGGTGGGTCATCTGTTAAAAACAAATCAATAAATAAGGCCCAAGCCGGCGTTGGCTCAGTGGTTCAGCATTCACCTATGGAGCTAGCGAGGAGGTCACGGTTCAATTCCTGGTTAGGGTGTATGCTCAGTTCCCAGTGGGGCGTGCAGGAGGCAGCCAGTCAATGATTCTCCTCATTGTTGTTTCTGTCTCCCTTCCTCTCTGAAATCAATATTTTTTTTAAAAAAGGAATGTCTTTCATATGTTTGAGATTTCATGAATCAGAGACTTCAATAGTTCCTGACAGCCTACCTTTATTTTAGTCATTAGTTTCAGGGCAAAACAGACCTACACCCCTTTCTGCGCCGCCCCCCCCCCCTCCCCCGAGTGGCATAGGTTTTCTTTCATCTCTTTCCTTCCAGGATGTTTTCATCATTTTGACCTGTGGTCAACAACTCCATTTGGAGCACAATTTTCTGATATATAAGATAAAGTTTTCTAATTTAGTTGATACTCATCCAGATACTCTTCTTATAAGTATTGTTAGAATCCCAAGTACGAGTGATTATGTCTGACTTCCTCAATTTGGCCCATGTCACAGGAATAAAAATGAAGTTTGAAATCTGTAATTTTTTTTGTTTTGGCAAGCTTCCTCTCAATGTTGCATATCATCTAGCACCTGTGAGAATATTTCCTTAGCAGTATGAGTATAATGGCAAAACAAAACAAAAAGCATTATATAAATCTCAAGCCAGTCACTTTTAAAAGAGATTAATTTTTAAGATTTATTGGTAGATTGGAATATAATTCATGTTGAGTAATTGTGAAATATATTGATAATATCAGGAACATTTATATTTATTGATAACATATTAGGAAACAGTGCTACCTTTACTGTACTTTAGCGGTGTTCTGTCTTGTATAGTTGACAGGCTCTGAATAATCGCAGCACACACGTTGTTATTTCAGGTCCTGTGGGAATGGCTGCTGCCGCCGCCGTGGCAACAGGAAAGAAGCGGAAACGGCCTCATGTGTTCGAGTCCAATCCATCGATCCGGAAGAGACAGCAAACACGTTTGCTTCGGTGAGGGGGTTCTTATCCATATTGTTGTTATTTCTCAAATATTTCATGGGGTAGATGACACAATTAGAACATCCATTATTAGGTTCACCAAAGATACCAAGTTAGATCCCTTGATGACAAAATTAGACTTTAAAGTACTCTTACGAAATTAAATAAATGCAACTAGAAATACGATTAACCAATGTATAAAATTAATTAGTTCAGAAAATCTATATGCCTGCTATGTGCCAGGCATTGTTCTAGGCTTTGAGAATATAATAGTGAACAAAACATTTCATTAAAGAGTTTATATTCTAGTGAAGGGGGGAAAGTGAACAAATAATGTAACATGTCGGATGATGAAAAGTGCTATGGAGGAAAATGAAGTGGAGTAAAGGTTAGGGGTTAGGGGGAATATGTAGTGTTTTTTTTTTTATATAGGGTTGGTCTGGGAATGCTCTTAAGACAACCTTTGAACAGAGACCTGAAGTAAGTGAAAAGGCAACCGTGTTAATGTCTAGGGGAAGAGCTTTTTTCCCTTGGGGAAATGGGGACTGAGAAGGGGAAAGGTTCTGAAGTGGAAAGGAACATGATAGTCATGTTAGGGGAATAGCTAGAGAGAAAACGAGAGAAGATCTGGTCAGTAGTAGTGCAGAGTCACATCATGAGGTCTTTTGATCCAATATTGGGGCTTTGATTCTTGCTCTGAGTGAGATGGGAAGTCAATGAAGGCTGTTGACCAAAGCAATGATATGTCTGATTATATGTTTTAAAAGGGTCATTGTCAATACAGGAGTATAAGAATGGAAATAGGCAAACCAATTAAGAGGCTAATGGGCTAATGTTGTAGTCCAAGCCAGAAATAATAGTGCCTTTAAACCAATGTAGCAGCAGCAAAGGTAGAAAGAGGTAGTCAGTTTTTTATTGTATTTCAAATCAGCTCCAGCATGATTCATTGATGGATTGAATGTGGGATGTGAGAGGGGGAAAAGGTCTGAAGGATTTTGGTCTGATTACTGGAAGGATTGAATTGACACCAGATGAGTAGCAGGTATGGGATTGAGGGCAGAATCAGGAATTTGGTTTTGATTAAGTTTATGATACATCTTAACCATTAAATAGAGATACAAAATAAGCAGTTGGAAATATGAATCTGGAATTCAAAAGAGAGATCTTAGCCCTGGCTGGTGTGGCTCAGTTGATTAGGCATCATCCTGTGCACTTAAAGCTCGCCAGTCTGGGCTGTAGGCTCGATCCCTGGCAGGGGGAGTACAGGAGACAACAGATTGATGTTCTGCTCTCATATCGATGTTTCTCTCTCTTTCTCCTCCCTTCCTCTCTCTAAAATTCAATAAAATATTTTTTTTTTTTAAAGAGAGATCTTAGTTGAGGATATAAACAATATATGTAATATTTAAAACTATGTGTTTGAAAGAGACTACCTAGGGAGTATGAACTTAAGCCTGAAGCCCTCTACCCTTTAAATATTTTTGTTATTTTTATTTTACACAGAGGAAGGGAAAGGGATAGTGAGATAGAAGCATCAGTGAGAGAGAGTTACCCATCGACGGCTGCCTCCTGCACTCCCCTTGCTGGGTATTGAGCCCAAAACCCAGGCATGTGCCCTAATCAGGAATTGAACTGTGACCTCCTGATTCATGGGGTGATGCTCAGGCACTGAGCTACATGGGCTGGGCATACCCTTTGGAGAGATGAAAGGAACTAGCAAATGAGTCTAAAAAGCAACAAGTGCATCAGGAGGAAAACCAAGAGAGTGGCACCCTGGAAACCAAGTGCAAAAAGTGTTTCAAGGAAGAGGGCATGTGATCAGCTCTATCAAATGCTGCTGACAGGTTGAATAAGATGCAAATTGACCTTTAGATTTAGCTACATAGGGGTCATGATTGAACTTAACCAAGACATTTTCAAGAGTGGCAACAACAAAAGTATTAGAGTGTCTTCAAGAGAGAATGGAAGGGAGAAATTAGAGATAGTCAATATAATTCAGACCATTCCTTCAAGGAAGCCACCAAATTTCTTGTTTGGTATGTTGTCTTTTGCTTGTTTTTATTTCTTTGGAAGAGTTTGTAGGTAGCAAAGAACGATTAGTATATAGGACATGAAGAACTTAATAATTTGATTGTGTAACATGTATTCATATACTAGAGGCCCAGTGCATGAAAATTAGTGCAAGAGAAGGCCTTCCTTCCCCTGGCTGCTGGCACCAGTTTCCCTCCGGCACCTAGGACTCGGGCTGCTTCCCTCCTCCGGCCACCAGCAGGCACCCGGGACCTGGGTTGTTTCCCTCCTTTGGCCGCTGGCAGGCACTTGGGACCCGGGCTGCTTCCTTCCGGCTGCCCACAGGCACCCAGGACCTGGGCTGGATTCCCTGGGTTGGCCCACAGGCACCCAGGACCAAGTCTGGCTTCTCTCTGGCCCAGGCTTTGTGAGGAAGGACATCTGAAATGACGTCTGGTCTAATTAGCATATTACCCTTTTATTATTATAGGGTAATAATAAGAAATTTATAAAATTTTCTATAACTTTTTTCTTATAGTATTTTAAATACTACATCCCAGTTTTCTGGTATTTATTGGAATGTTGATTCCTAAAGGAGTGTCAGCCCATGTGAATGATACGTGATAAAAGCTAGAATACATTCTACATTAAGAACATAAGAAGATTATACAAAACTAAAGGAAAGCTTGAAAAGTACTAATAGTAGCTTTCAGCAAGCCTACAGATTACATGCCATTAGATGGGCAGTTCTCATTTCCTTTAATGATAGTACAGGCAGGAGGAATTAGAATGCATTATTTATAGACATATATTTGCTATGAGGAACATAGATAAAAGAGTACGTGGTTCTGGAGAAGATGGAAAACTTTATTTTAGATACGTTGGCTTTACTCCGCTTGAATTGGCATGACTCCCCAGTCCCTTAAAAGGACAGACTAATGTATCTAGTCAGAATAAATTGTCTCAAGTCAAAGTAAATTTGTGTCTGTCAGGCACTGTAATTTTTCTTTTTAAACTGATTTTATTCCTTTTTCATTCTCTGACTCAGGAAACTTCGAGCCACATTAGATGAATATACTACCCGAGTGGGACAGCAAGCTATTGTCCTCTGTATCTCACCCTCCAAACCCAACCCGGTCTTTAAAGTATTTGGTGCAGCACCACTGGAGAATGTGGTAAGAGAACTGAGCTGTGTTCTCAGATACCCTTTGCTTTCTGTGAGTTGTTGTTCACATTCTTATGGTCTTCTGTGTAGCATACTAATTATTACTTCTAACCTCCTCTCATCCAGGATGGGAATGGGGAGTGGGATTTTCAAACTACTTTATGCAAATAAAAATAAAAATGATTATGTCTCTTTCTACTTCCTGTAACAAGGTATTTTACCTCCCCAGATGCAATGGAAAAAATGATATTGTGTTTTTTAAGAAATCAATGTAGGATTTTGTAAGAAAATTGCTGATTTATGTTAGAAACAAAATGGAAGATAATTCCAAGGTATAAACTTCATGAGGCAAAGTTGGGAGTACTTTATTCACTGCTGATATTTGAGTTGCATATTTAAAATCTCTTACATTTATTCAAAGATTTGACTTAACATTGCTTTAGTTTTTAAATATAATTAAATATTTTGATCGTATACCTTCCATAGATTACTTTATGAAAATACTATTTACTTATGTGAACTACTTTTTCTCTGGCTGAAATAACTTTTAGTCATTAGTAGAATAATGATCTGTCCATATTTAAATTGAATTTTGTTTTTATTAGGATAAAATCTATTCCCTCAAAATTACGTTTGTCAGTTTTCTCCCATACTGAATGTAGTCATTTCAAGGATTCAGAATTACTAATCACTTGAGATTTTATTATACTATGTGTTTTTCCACACACACAGATTTGTGGTTCTTCCTTAATGTTTTTAAGTATTGTTTTGAGGTTTCCCCAGGATTCCTGAGACTCTAGAATAGGATGCATATTAGAACCTTTCCTTAGAGGAATGTGGAAGAAAGCTTTTAATTCACAATGGTACCTGTCAAGCAGTTCTTAGTATCATTCTGTTGATAGACATGAAATCTGGACATGTCTTCTCTTCTATAGTATTAAAATTTTTAAATATTATTCTACTAATGTGATCTATGAAAAAAGACTCATCTAGAAGCCCTGCCTGGTTTGGTTTAGTGGATGGAACATCGACTTGTGGACTGAAGGGTCACAGGTTTGATTCCAGTTGAAGGCATGTACCTTGGTTGCAGGCTCTGTTTTCAGTCAGGGTGCTTTTGGGAGGCAACCAATGGTTGTGTTTCTCTCACATGGATGTTTCTTTTTCTCTCCCCCTTCTAAAAATCAATGAAAAATATTCTTGGGTGAGGATTAACAACAACAAAAAGACTTACCTAGAAGACTCACAAAAATACCTCTGAAGATAACATATTAGGAAACAGTGCTAAATCCAAAAGAAAGCTTTAGGAATTGTCCATATAATACAAAAAGATATGTGGATTTTATGAAGCAAGAACAAACAGTTGTATGATAGACTAGAATAAGGTAAAAAGAAGTAGATATTTCCCCATTGACTAACATTTACTAAGTATGGCTAAAAAATAAATATCAATAGAATAGGATGCAAAATATTTCTTCCAGAGCACTAAAGAGGAAATAAAACCAAGGTTATATACAAAAGATAAAAAACAAGGGAAGGAATTCAAAACAAAACACAAAACATAGAACAAGTTAGTATTAGTGAAACTAATTAATTACATTATAAGTCATAAATATAAATGGGTTAAATTCCCTTGTTAAAGACAAAGATTTCTTTCAGATTGGAATAACAACCTAACTCTTTAATTTATGTGGCATACTTACAATTACAAATGTTCAAAGTAGCTACAAATGATAACATCAAGAAAGTAAAAAGTATCTACAGAATGGAGAAAATATTTGCAAATCACATATCTGATAAAGAACTTGCATTCAGAATAGATAAAGAACTCTCATAACTCAACGATAAAAAGACAAAACAACCCAATTTTAAAATGGCAAGGAATCTGAGTAGATATTTCTCCAAAGAAGATATAGAAATGGACTGCAAACACATGAGCACTAATAATGAATAATCATTAGTCATTAAGGAAATAAAAATTAAAACTATAATGAGATACCACTTCACCCATTAGGATGACTATGGTAAAAAAAAAAAAAAAAAAAAAAAAAAGGAGAATTATAAGGTAAGGCTATGGAGAAAGTAGAACCCCTGTACATTGATTGCTGTTGAGAATGTAGAATGAAGTAGCTACTTTGGAAAACAGTTTGGCAATTTCTTAAAATGTTAAAAGGAGAAAGAAAAAAGAAAAAAGGGAGAGTTATCCAGCAATTCTGAATGCAAGTTTTTTACCCAAGAAAACTGAAAATAAAACACATAGCAGCAACACTTAATGCCCAAAAGCATATATACAATATTCATAGAATGTTTGTAGTTGCTACATTTTATAACAGCCACAAAGTGGAAATAACCCCAAATGTCCATCAACTAATGGATAGGTTTTTAAAAAGTGTTATTATCCATATAATGGAATATTAATCAGCAATAAAAAATAATCAAGTTTTGATACTTGAATCTTAAAAACATTGTGCTAACTAAAAGGACCCAGTCACGAAAGACCACATATTGTATGATTCCATTTATATGCAATGTCTAGAATAGGTAAATCTATAGAGACAGAGAGTAGCTTAGTGGTTGCCAAGATGGAGAAGACAGAAGGGAGGATGGGGACTGACAGCCAATGGGTATGGAGTTTCTTTTAGGGGGGATGAAAATGTTCTAAAATTAGATTATGATGATTCTTGCACTAAAAAGGATTGAATTATACACTTTAAAGGTGTGAAATGAATGGTGTAGTAGGCTGAATACAGGGTGGAACAAAAGTAGTTTTATAGTTGTGAGTATGCAAAACAAAGTTTATTCTTGTATTATTATTTAATTATTGTATTATTTTCCATATGAACAACTGTATACCTACTTTTGTCCTACCTTATAATGGACCCCAAAGATAACAAGGTCCAATCCCTAGAACCTTTGAGTGTTGCCTTCTTTGGCAAAGAAGACATAAGCATGGTTAAATTAAGGGTCTTGAGCTGGGGAGATTGCCCAGCATTACCCAGGTAGGCCCTAAACCTATCACAGTGTCTTTATAAGAGAGAGATAAAGGGAAATTGATATAGATGTAAGAGATATGATAGTGGAAACAAGAAATTTGATGTAAGGAAGAGGTCAGGAGCCAAGGAATACAAGTTAGACAGCAGCAAGACGAGACAAGAAAATGGATTCTTTCCTAGGGCTTCCAGGAAAGGTCTCCAGTTCAATTCTCGGTCACAGTGCATACAGGAGGCAGCTGATCTCTCTCTTTCTCCCCCCTCCCCCCCCCCCCCCCTCTCTCTCTCTCTCTCTCTCTCTCTCCCTCCCACTCTCCCTCCCCCCCCTCCCTCGTCAATAAAAATATTTTAAAAAAACAAACAAACAGCCGAAACCGGTTTGGATCAGTGGATAGAGCCTCAGTCTGCGGACTGAAGGGTCCCGGGTTCGATTCCGGTCAAGGGCATGTACCTTGGTCGCGGGCACATCCCCAGTGGGGAGTGTGCAGGAGGCAGCTGATCGATGTTTCTGACTCTCTATCTATCCCTTTCCCTCCTCTATAAAAAAATCAATAAAATATATTTTAAAGAAAAAGAAAAAACAAACAACTTCCAAACGTTTGTGGCCAGAGCAATCAAACAGCATGATATTGGCATAAAAACAGATAGAGAACAATGAAATAAAATAGAGATCCCAGCTGAAACAGGTTTGGCTCAGTGGATAGAGCGATGGCCTGTGGACTGAAAGGTCCCGGGTTCGATTCTGGTCAAGGGCATATACCTTGGTTGCGGGCACATCCCTAGTGGGGGGTGTGCAAGAGGCAGCTGATCGATGATTCTATCCATCTCTCTTCCTCTCTGTGAAAAATCAATAAAATATATATTTAAAAAAATAAATAAATAAATAAAAATAAAATAGAGATCCCAGGAATAAACCCATGCTTACACTGTCCATTAATATTTGATAAAGGAGGCAAGAATATACAATGTCACAAAGATAGCTTTTCAATCAATGTGTTGGGAAAATTGGACAGATACATGCAGAAAAATTAAACAAGACCACCTTCTTACACCATGTACAGGAATAAACTCAAAATAGATTGAAGACTTAAATGTAAGACTTGAAACCATAAAACTCTTAGAAGAAAACATGGGCAGTAAATTCTCAGGCATTTCCAGTAGCAATATGTCTCCTCAGCCAAATGAAGCAAAAGGGGAAAGAAACAATAGGGACTGTATCAAACTAAAAGTTTTTGCACAGCAAAGGAAACCACAGATAAAATGAAAAGACAATCTACTGAAAGGGACAAGATGCTCAGCAATGACACATCCAATTGGGGGGTTAATATCCAAACTTAATAAACAGCAAAAATACCCAACTCAATGGCAAAAAAAAAACAACAACAAACCACCAAAAACCCAATCTGGTTAAAAAAATGAGAAAAGGCTGAAACCGATTTGGCTCAGGGGATAGAGCGTTGGCCTGTGGACTGAAAGGTCCCAGGGTTTTTTTTGTTTTTTGTTTTGTTTTGTTTTTGTTTAATTTATTGATTTTGTACAGAGAGGAAGGGAGAGAGAGAGAGTTAGAAACATCGATGAGAGAGTCATTAACCAGCTGCCTCTTGCACACCCCCTACTGGGGATATGCCCGCAACCAAGGTACATGCCCCTGATCAGAATCGAACCCGGGTCCTTTCAGTCCCCAAGCCGACTCTCTATCCACTGAGCCAAACCGGTCTTGGCCCAGGTTTGATTCCAGTCAAGGGCATGTACCTTGGTTGCGGGCACATCCCCAGTGTGTGTGGGTGGGGGGGGGGTGTGTGCAGGAGGCAGCTGATCAATGTTTCTCTCTTATCGATGTTTCTAATGCTCTATCCCTCTTCCTTCCTTTCTGTAATAAATCAATAAAATAATTTTTAAAAATGAGAAAAGTTCCTGAATAGACACTGCTCCAAAGAGGACATATACAGATGGCCAATAGACATATAAAAAGATGCTCAATGTCACTAATCATCAAAGAAATACAAATTAAAACCACGAGATACCACCTTACACCTGTCAGAATGGCCGTCAATAAATGAACAGACATCTTAGGATGCGGAGAAAAGGGAACTTTTCGTGGGAATGCAAATTGGTACAGTCACTATGAAACATAGTATGGAGGTTCCTCACAAAATTTATAATGGAGGAACCCTTACAAAATTTATAATGGAATCACTTGTGACCTAGTGATTCCACTTCTGGGTATATATCCATAGAAACCCAAGAATGTATACACCCCCGTATTCATTGCAGCATTAGCTACAATAACCAAGATATGGAAGCAACCCAAGTGCCCACCTGTAGATGAGGGGATAGAAAAAGTGATAGTACATGTCTATAATGGAATATTACTTAGCCATAAAAAGGAATGTGATCTCACCACTTCAATAGCCTAGATGGACCTAGAGGGCATTATGCGAAACGAAGTAAGTCAAAGAAAGTCAGATACTATATAATTTCATTGATATACAGAATCTAAAGGGAGAGAAATAAGTGAACAAAGCAGAAACAGGCCTGGATACAGAAAACAGACTGATGGTTGCCAGAGGGGAGAGGGGTTGAGGAACTGGGAGGAAAGATGAAGGGATTAAGAAGTACAAATTGGTAGTCACACAGTAGTCATGGGGATATAAAGTACAGCATAAGGAATCTATAAAAGCCTAAGTGACCAGCTGACTGGCCAGTAGCTAGGACATGCACTGACCACCAGGGGGCAGATGCTCAACACAGGAGCGGAAACCTCTGGCATGGAAACATGGAAGAGACTGATGAATCTCAGAGGGCAGGGGGAAAGGTGGGAGGAAATTAACCAAAGATCTTCTATGCATACTTGAGGCCCTGTGCACAGATTCGTGCACCAGTGGGGTCCCTTGGCCTCTCCTGAGGGATTGGACCTAAACCAGCTCTCTGAGAGGTCCTGGGTTGCAAGAAGTGCAATCTCTTCTGCAGGCCAGGCCAAGGGACCCCACCGGTGCACAAAGCTGTGCACCGGGGCTCTAGTATAGTCAATAGTACTGTAATACCTATGTATGGGTACTTGAAATATTGGGGGACCACTTTGTAAAGTATAATGATTATCTACTGTGCTGTGCACCTAAAACTAATACAAGATTATATTGAATATAAACTATAATTGAAAAATTTTTTTTAAATATTGTGGTCATACCTGAAGTTGCTTTTGTAAATTTCTCTGAGGGATGCTCTACCATCATGTTTGTTTGTTTTTTTAAACCTCAAGATATTTTTAAGGAATTATATAGCACTGATAAGTTTAGCTAAATGCCTGAATATGAATTCTTGTATTTTACTAACCCATAAAAATGGATGAAATAGTTTGAACCTAGCTAATTACATAGTAATAATCTAATGATTTCCTATCTTTAAATGCCAGGTGTTTCCAGCACAATGAAATTTATTTTATGTATTAACATTAAAATTCTTAATATACCTTCTTACTACTAATACAATGATTTAACCTGATACATTAAAATTCAAAGACTGGAACCTAGCCTGGTAGCTCAGTGGTTGAGCATCAACCCATGAACTAGGAGGTAACGATTCTATTCCTGGTCAGAGCACATGCCCAGGTTGTGGGCTCAGTCCTAAGTAGGGAGCACGCAGGAGGCAGCCAGTCAGTGAATTCTCATCTTTGATGTTTCTATCTCTCCCTTAGCCTTCCTCTCTGAAAATCAATACAAATATATTTATTTTAAAAAAGACTAGAACCTAGGTTTATAAGATTCAGTTTTTCTGTGGGTTGGTAGTATAAAAACTCTACCCGGGATACAGAAACCTAGAAAATAAAAAATGTAAATTCTTAAAATTGCATGGCAACACCAGCTGCTTATATTACAATAATTAAGTTGGTAATTTTTTAAAACTTTCTTTTTTATTAGAAACCAGTATAAAACTGAATTTTTAGAGTGATAATGATTCTACATGTTTGCACTATTTTTCTTTAATCCATTTTATTGTTGATCTATTTGGAAAGTTCTAAAACTGCAAACATTGTACTTCGTGGCCAACAATAATTTTTACTTTTTCACATGCTGGAGGTGGAGTATGGGAATCTTTATTTCTTAATCCTTATAATGAGATATTTATAAGGAAGTGTGTCCTGATTGAGAGTCCAGTCCACTTAGCAGAAAACCTAAGACTCAAACATTTTTGTAACTTCTGAGCAAATCTCATCTTATCTTCCCTTTTTTCTTAAGTTAATGGCTTGAGATCTGAATGCAAGTTAATTGTCTATCCCATGTTGACACATTTTCATAATTCCATGGCTTCTTTGTTATCCCCAAAGGCTTTCTCATCCCCCTGTGCGTTTTTGCAAGTGAATGAACCTATTATTGTTGCTTGTAGGATCCGGTGTCTCTTTACCGTTTCTGCTCACCATGGAAGAATGTGTGCATGTACAAATGTGCTGCTGTGAAGTTCTCAGTCTTTTGCGAGACCTTTCTCTAGCAGTGCAAAGAGTGGACTCAGAACAATACTGGTTCAGACCAGTGCTTGTCAGAGCTACAAAGGCATCATGGGGCTGAAGTTCACCTCCGTCATCAGGAAGTACCAGAAAGGGGAGGACCTGACCTCGGGGCTCTCTCTGGCCTTGGGCCGCACTAATAGTGGCACCTTTGCCACCTCGCTACAATATTCGCCTCTGGGTGGTTGTTTTTTCTGATGCCTTTCTGTCCAGCTTCTTGGACACTTGACTCTCCATTCTGTTTGGTAGTCTGGCTTTGCAGGAAAGTAACAAGTTTTAGAGACAAGTTTTTAGTTATCTTGAAAATGTTTTTGGCGTTTAACTGCCACAGCTAGACTTTATCAAATGGCCTGGGAAATGCCATATAATGAAAGCCATTCCTATTAGATCTGGAACAGGTGATGGAACCAGCATTGACAGAAAAAATGATTTTAACGGAGAAACAGTATTTCTGTAAAACCTTTATTCCTTTTTACTGATGTTACCTGTAAGTTTTGTTTGTTTGTTGTTTTCTTTGTTAATCCTCATCCGAGAATATTTTTTCCATTGATTGATTTTTAGAGAGAGTGGAAGGGAGGGGGAGAAAGAGAGAGAGATAAACATCAACGTGAGAGGGACACATCGATTGGTTACCTCCCCCACCTACCCTGACCAGACCTGGGGATCAACCTGTATCCGAGGTATGTGCCCTTGACCGGATTTGAACCCACAACTCTTCAGTCCGTGAGCCGACACTCTAACCACTGAGCCAAACTGGATAGGGCTTCATTTAATTCTGAACAATGTGGTGTCTTTGGGACCAGTGCTAGTTGTAGAAGTGTTTGTTCTTAGGGTTCTGTACTGGCTGAGGGAGACCAGCCCCACCCACCCGCTAGTTGCTTTGCACCATCCCTCCCTGGTTGCTAGGCATCTTGTTTACTTCTGCCCTAATTCCCTGCAGGTGCGTAAGTACAAGAGCATGATCCTGGAAGACCTGGAGTCCGCCCTAGCGGAACACGCCCCTGTGCCACAGGAAGTTAACTCAGAGTTGCCGCCTCTCACCATTGATGGAATTCCAGTCTCTGTGGATAAAATGACCCAGGTAAGGGGTAGGAAGTGAGGAGGAGACACAAAGACAAGTGGCACAGGTGTGGCTGTGCCTCAGATGACTTTCCTTAGTCTTGTCCTCAGTGATACCACTAGAGTGAGATACAGCCTAGAGCTGATCGTGAAACAGGAGAAGCCTTGGAAGAGAAAATGTTGTGCCAGAAGGATGCTCCCCACCAGGGGCATGGATGTGGCCTCCTCCTTCTGCTGGCAGTTTTTACTGCCTCTTGGGTCCTTAGGTTAGCTAACGAAACTTAGCTTGGAGTTGGTTTGGAAAGGAGACTGTTAGGACTTTGATGAATCACAGTAAAGTGGGGCAAGTAACTTTTAGCCTCTTTTGGGCTGAGCTGCTCCTCTATGTACATTCTGACTCCCACAGTACTGCCAAGGAAGGCTTCCCTCTCCAGGGAACGAGGACGGAAAGCTCAGAAGGACACCTCACTGACTCATTGCTCCCCTCCTCTTCCTTTCAGAAGGAAGTCAGAATGTTCTTAGCCTGATACATCAGGAATGTTGCTGAGATTGTTTCTTTAAAAATTTTTAACTTTAAAAGTGATAGCTTAAACAAAACTAACTGCCTTTTTATATCATATTTTCTCACCTTGTTTTCTTAATATATGTTGCTAAATTCAGTTGTGAGTTTTCTTTCCTTTTCCTGTCTTCCCAGCAGCATTTACCACAGTTGATTATTTCTTTCTTCTACACAGTTTCTGTGACCCCCACATTCTCCTGAATATTCTTCTACTCAATGGATCCTCCCTCTTCTGCTGGCTTTTCTTCCTCTTCTTACCTGGTCTATGTTGGCATGTCCCAGGGCTCTATCTTTATTTCTCTCCAAGTGATCTAATCCTGTCCTGTGGACTTTCTATCCCATCTATATTCTGTGTGCACCCCAGCTTATACCAATTACTGTTAGATCCTTAATAGCAGGTGTTCATAACAGAACCTATGAATGCCCCCACCCACTGCACTCTCCAAATCTCTTCCTCCCCTAGTATTCCCATGTCAGTTAATGGCGCCATTGTCCATCTGGTTACTCATATCCTGTCATAGGAGTAAATCCTTGATTTCCCTGTTTTGCCCTCACTCCCCTACCAACCACATCTAATTATTAGCAAGTCATGTCAATTCACCTCAAATATACCTTGAATCTCATTCTTCTTCTCAGTTCCCATCATACCCTAGCCCAAGCTTCAGCATCTCTCACAGACTTTTTTAGTTGATCAATTTTGTTGATCTTGCTGCCACTCTTGTTCTGCTACAGGCCATGCTAAACAGAACCACCTGAGATTTTAAAAAAAACAACAACCCACAAATGAGGTCATGTCACTCTTGTTTAAGCTCCTTAGTGGCTTTCCATTGTTTCTTGGATCAAATTCAGATTTTGTCATGGCCTCTGAGACCCTATGTAATCTGGCCTCTTTCAAACCCATTGTCCATTCTTTCCCTCAGTTAGTGTGCTATGGCCAAACTACCCTCTTTCTTTTTGTTAGACACCCAAGCGCATTCTTTTACTTTTGCTATTCCCTCTGTCTGCAACATTTTTCTCCCAGAACATTGTGTGGTGGACCTTACCTTATTCAAAGTGTAGCTCAGATATCACCACCTTCTTATCTCATCTGATGAAGTTTATTTCTCCCATCAAGTAACTACCTAATACATTCTGTATTTTATTGTCTTTGTATCATAAGTTCTCACTTAACATTTTTTATAGGTTCTGCAACTTTAAGCGAAATGACATACAAGGAAACCAGTTTTACCATAGGCTATTGATATAAATAAGAGTTAAATGGCTATAGCATCTCATCAATGTTATAATGAGATGGCATTATTTGAGGACCTGCTGCACTTATCTCTGGTCTGTCTTTCCAGTAGGATCTTAGTTTCTGTTTTTCATTACTGTCCAGTACAGCTGCCCAACACCTAATAACATCTGTATTCTAAATAATACTTGGTCAGTATCTGTCTAATGTATGATGTAGGGGTCAGAGCAAAAATGAATCCAGCGTAGTGGGTAACTGAATTGTGAGGTTCCTGAATGGGATTCACTCGGTACAGACATTGATGCTGCTGCTAGGGAGGGACACTTTTCTTTCTTCTAAGTCTGAACTAGAGACTTGGTCTGAAATAAAACAACATTTTATAAAGATAAAGCTAAATTGAGATCTTTCCATGGATAGTTGAATGATCTCTAAATAATGGTTCAAAAAGGAAGGCATTATCTAAACTTTTCCTGCCATTTCGTACCTGCTATTATTCTGTTCTTAGGGCCATTCTGACTGGTTAAAGAAAACATGAGGTGATTTTTTTTCCAATTGATGTAAAGAATTTATTCAGTATCTCATCTAAAGTCGAATAAGCTTCTGATTGAAAATGCATTTAGGTAGAGTCCTGTCCTGTGATGGGCATTTTTCTCCTCTTGTCAAAGTTGAGGCGCTAGGTTGAAATAATCTAGATATTGATAATCACGAGAATTGGCTAATGGCCACAAAAGTCGGAGCAAATAGTTTAATTGTGTTAGAGATAAAACATTGTTTTTTCCAGTTCTCAACAAAACATTAGCAAAGAGGATCCAACAATACATTAACAATAAACAAGTTGGATTTATTCTGGGGATGCAAGGTTAGTCCAATGTTCTCAATCAATAAATGTGATATACCACACAAACAAAACGAAAGATAAAAACCACATGATCATATCATAGATGCAGAAAAAGCATTTGATAAAATCTACCATCCATTTATGATAAAAACTCTCAGCAAAGTGGAAATAGAAGAAACATACTTCAATGTAATAGAGGCCATGTGTGACAGACCCACAGCTAACATCATACTCAATGGAAAAAAACTACAAGCTTTGCCCTTAAGATCAGAAAAAGACAGGGATGTCGGCTTTCACCACTCTTATTCAACATAGTACTGGAAGTCCTAACCATAGCAATTAGACAAAAAGAAGAAATAAAAGGCATTCCAATTGGAAAGGAAGAAGAAAACTGTCATTATTTGCAGATGACATAATACTGTTAAGAGAACCCTAAAGACTTCACCAAAAAAACTATTAGAATTGATAATGAGTTCAGTAAAGCAACTGGATACAAAATAAATATCTAGCCGGGACCGGTTTGGCTCAATGGATAGAGCGTCAGCTTGGGGACTGAAGGGCCCCGGGTTCGATTCCAGTCAAGGGCATGTACCTTGGTTGCGGGCATATCCCCAGTAGGGGGTGTGCAAGAGGCAGCTGAGGACTCTCTCTCATTGATGTTTCAAACTCTCTCTCTCCCTTCTACTCTGTACAAAAATCAATAAAATATATATATAAAAAAAACAAAACAAAATAAATATCTAGAAATCAGTTGTATTTGTGTATATCAGTAATGAACTATCAGAAAGGGAAACTAAGAAAACATCCCATCCAAAATTACCTTAAAAAAACCCTGCAGGAATGAACTTAACTAGGAATGTAAAAGACCTGTACTTGGAAAATAAGACTGAAGAAAGAAATTGAAGAAGATACAAATAAATGGAAGCATATACCATATTCACAAATAGGAAGAATTAACATCATTAAAATGTCCATACTACTGCTGAGCCAGCGTGGCTCAGTGGCTGAACATCGACCTATGAACCAGGAAGTCACAGTTTGATTCCCTGTCAGGGCACATGTCCGGGTTGTAGGCTCGGTCCCCAGTGTGGGGTGTGCAAGAGACAACTGATCATGATTCTCTCTCATCATTGATATTTCTCTCTCTCCCTCTCCCTTTCTCTCTGAAATCAATAAAAACATATTAAAATAAATAATAAATATAATGTCTATACTACCCAAAGCAATCTGTAGATTCAGTGCAGTGCCTACCAGGATACCAAAGTTGTGTGTCACAGAACTAGAATAATTATTCCAAAAATTTATATGGAACCACAAAAGACCTTCTTGTATAAGAAGTGAAGGAGGTTGAGGAAGACTTAGCAGAAGAAATTTTAATTTAGTTTCCATTCTCCAACCCCACAATCCATTTACTACAATGAAATAATAAAGTCCTCTTTTTCAGGGATTTTGAAAGCCAGGTTAGTAACATTTTCTAGAATACTTCAGACCAGAGACATGTTTCTCAAACTCAGCATGCATAGGAACTACCTGAATCAAGAGGTGTAGGGTGGGGCTCGAGGTTCTGCCTCGTAGCAAGCTCCCAGGTGATGGATGCCTAACCTTCTGATTCCCAGAGTACACTTTGACTCAAAGGAGTGTTTTTAAAGAGTCTTTAAATAATAATGATGATTTTGCTAGTGGAAAATCAGTTCTGCTCTTTGCCACATTTGAGTCCTATAGGATTCTCTTATTCTTAGAGGTTGTAAATATTTTTGGAACTTGTGTTAGAAGAGATTCAGGCAAACATTATAATTACAGAAGAAATATCTCTGGAAAAAACAGTTTATTGATTGGTTGAAATCCACTCTTTTTTCCCTTCTCTGTTCCCTATCCCCACCTTGAACTTACTGTCCTCTCTTACTCTCACTGGGACAGTCTTCGTTGCTTTAATATTCCCTTGGAATGATGATGCAACAGGATAGTAATTCTTCACCAGATTATAGGGAAACCTTCAGAAACATTCGGCACATGATTGCTTCATTAGGAAGAAGTTACTCACCGAGCTTGACATGTTTTACTTAGAAAACATTCATTAGTTTTCAATTTAGGTTTTTTGAGTGTTGTTCTGTTTTCTTCTACTCAAAGAGTAGAAGCATTATGCTGTGTGAAGCAAGCCAAACACAAAGGACGGGTATCGTGTGATTCCCCTTACTAGTACATGAGCTATCTAGAATGGAAAATTCAGAGAGACAAAGTAGAGGAGAGGTTACCAGGGTCTGTGGAAAATAGAAATGGTAGTTACTATTTAACGGGTACAGAGTTTGTTTAGGTGATGATGAATAAGTTCTGGAAATACATAGTAGTGATGGTTGTACATATTATGATTGTACTTAATGCCAATAAATTATATAT